AACCCCATGTCCTTTGTCAGGTTTTGTAATGGTTTATGTGTTGCCTTATGTGTTGACGATTGGGCAAATGAATGTTTCAATGTCTGGAGATTTGTTTAATGTAACCTGTGACAATTGCACTGTTAGTAATTGTATGGGTCCGGATTCAATGTAATTTTCTATGGCTGTAAATTGACTAATTATGTATCTGACATTGCACAAGGGAGTTCTGTTATGGTATTTCATCAACCTTCATTTGTTATGCTTCCGGTTAAAGAAGCTTCCAAACCTTGGTATTCAGATAGAGGCTTGCAAGTGTTGGATGAAATTCAAAAATCTTTGAGTAGACCTAAGAGAATGATTGTATTGATCATTGCTGGAATTCTTGCTATAGTATCTATTATAGACAGTGCTGCTACTTTTGCATTAGCTTTAACACAAGAGATACAAACAGCTAGTTTTGTTGATCATCTTGCTGAAAATGTAACAATGCCATGAGCATACAAGAGGATTTGGATAGATGGCCAAAACAAAACATAAATACATTATATGATATAGTGCAGATTATGGGAGATAAGGTACAAGGAATGAAAGTCAGAAGCCATTTGGAATGTCCTGCTTGATATCTAAGAATTTGTATAACCCCCAAAATATATAATGAGAGTCAGCATAACTGGACCAAAGTAAAAAGATACCCTCAAAGTATTTGGCATAATACTAACTTTAGGTTTGTTATCCCTGCATAAGAAGGTTATAAGTTTAACAAATACAAAGCTTTTGTCTTTTGACAATGCTAGCATTCCAAATGATATTCTGAAAAAAATTATAGGTTGTTTTTTTTTCCTTCATGGTCCTCATTTATGTCTCTCTTATTGGGCATAGCAGGACTTGGCTTTATGATCCTTTTTATGGCATGTTTGTTTCCTGTTCTTTTGAGAGGACTCAGCAGAGATTTTACAGATATCAAAGCAGAGTTACATAAGTTCAAGCTCCAAAGTCTTTCCTAGCAATGATGGGTAAGATTATATTGAAAATCTTCTTAGCTGGGCAGTGGTGGCACACGCCTTTAATCCCAGCACTTGAGAGGCAGAGGCAGGTAGATTTCTGAGTTCGAGGCCAGCCTGGTCTATAGAGTGAGTTCCAGGACAGCCAGGGCTGCACAGAGAAACCCTGTCTCAAAAGAAAGAAAGAAAGAAAGAAAGAAAGAAAGAAAGAAAGAAAGAAA